TTATGGTGACAAACCTTGCAAAGGACAACATTTTGAACTAGTTCAGATTATGTACATATGCAGATGAACATTTATCCTTAAACCTTATTTAAAAACTTATCCTAAGACTTGCTTTATCATTAATCTCACTATACATTTATTTTTCTTTTGTAGGATGAAGAGGAAGGCTTTTGTGAACAAGATTCTTGTAAATCCTGATATAATTTTAATATAATAAATAAATAAGAAACAGAGTTTTTGTTAACTGTGTAAAATGACACTGTTTATCGAACAAAGTAATAGTACATCAATATGCTTGAGAATTTCATGTACAAATTTAAGATTTGAAAGATAAGTCATTCATTACCATTAAAAAAACTTTTAGAGGTAGATGGGGGAGAAAAACACCTAACCCAAAAATTAAAAGCATCCAACTTAATTTTTTAGATAGAAAATTTTTGTTTACAAATTCTGTTGCTTATACAACAGAATGGATGTTGTTTTCAATATAAATGAAAACAACAATCTCAAGCTCTTGACCTGCTATATTTCCAGTTAGAAAGTATGCAGTTGCTTACTATAGATTAATCTGCTAGGCAATATTTTCAAACAGATAACTTTTTTTTAATAAACGAAATAAATTATCTCAAATCTGCTGTATTTCATAAGATATTAAGTAATTCTGGTGAGTTTGAAGTGAAAATTGGTTTTACATATTTAGAGATGTATAGTTACAAAAGGTGACGTGGTTGCTAGATTTAGAAAGAACTCGCTTTTTTGGAAGTTCTTATTTGGCTTCTTTTTACTTGTTTATTACTGTTTGTTTTTGGTGCAAGCCGTGCACCATCATATGTTAATGTTAGGATATTGTTCAAGCAGTGAGATTAAGTTCCTTTTTCAAATTATCATTCAGGTTTATATTTTGTAGTTGGTATTATTATACAATGTAAGAAGTGTTTTACATCGATTATTTTTTTGAAAATGACAATTCTTATGTGCTGAAATGACAGGTCTTCAAATGACTATACTAATAATGATTCTTCTTTTAAACACAAATTACATATCAGGTAACAAATAATACAAGAAATACTTCTCAAGAGAGTTTGAAAATACAATGATCACGTTGTGACCCAAAAGGCTTCAAAACACACCGCAAACAGTTACCCGGAAGTATAGAGAGTCAAGAGTGCTCCCTAGAGTAGAAAACGCTTTCCATTTGAACAAACAGGGTTCCCACTCTATGATGAGATTGAAATTCAAGGACTTTCCAGGACCTCAACAAAATTTTCAAGGACCTTAATCTAAGACCAATTTTAAAAATTATTCTCNAAGTTTAAATATAATAATATAGATTTTAAGTTAACTCCTTAATGATAGCAAAATTTTGAAGAAAATTGTCATAAAAGTACTGATTTTCACTCAAGAAAAGTATATAAAACAATGTGTATAAACAATATACATGCTCATATTAAGTTTTGGTTTACTTTTTAGCCTAAAATAATGATAAATGCTGACATCCTGCTCAAAATAAAGTATCTCTAAACACATAATTAACATTCAGGTACTGCGACCTGCCGTGGAGATTGAGAAATAACTAATTTCGGGTATAAAAAAATAGATTGTTTTCTTTTTCTAATTTCTTCTTTCTAATTTCAATATTTCATCCAAGAGAAATAGAAGGCATAAAATTAATAAACTTCACCCTATTATTTTGATGAGAGGGAAAAAGAAAGGATTAAACTATAATTTTCTAAGAAAATGTATGTTTAAAATTTGAGCTGTAAGAATAGACTAAATATTTTTTATATAAATAATGTAAACACAAAATATTTAAACAACAAACAAAATGCAAATTTTTGATGTTTAATGAAATACAATGTATTACATATCAATTAAATGAATAATTTCTGTACACAATTCAATAAAAAATTCAAAAAATAACAGAAACCACATATTACTTTTGGTACAAAAAAATTTGGTTCTTCAAAACAAAATTGCACAGTAAATAATTTTAAAAAGAGCATGATCACCCTTTTCTAAATCAACTGAAACACCAACTCAAGAAAATTACATGTTTTTTTACAAGTTTAAATTTAATTAATAATTTGAATTTTAATAAGATATTTTAGCAAAAACATATTGTTTTATGTATATCTCTAGGCACTAAATTCTTTTACACCTTTTAGCTAGAGGGGTGGTACCCAAACAACAAAAATAATTTTAAACATGAATTGAGGAACTGCTCTTCTAAAGACTGATCAATATCGAACTCAAAAGATCTTCAATTCAGATCACTCAAATCAAATTTGATTTGCATCAAAAGACATGCTCCAAATAGGGGAGTCAAAACATTACTTATGTAAATGAAAACATTTTTAATTTGTCTCAATTTAGAGTAAAATAACAATAGCCTCCAATTTAAATAAATTTAACGAATCATGAATTGAGTTTACTTACAATTGAAAATTATATGAAATATTGATTAATCCCAGATTATTTCTTTGTTATTATGGGCAATATTTTTGAACATTTTGTTTATATCTTAAGTAATAAAAAAAGGATTAAAACATATTTGGAATTTGACAGCTTTTTCTTAAAAGACAGGTTTATTTTACATATCCTAAATTCAAACAAACAATGACATTAAACTATTTCATTCAGTTTTCAATTGTGTCAAGTATGCAATTATAACAGTAAAACATAAAATATTCCTTTTCATATACAAAACACTGAAGCCAATTGAAAAAAAAAAAAAAAGTGGCTTGACCACATTTCTAACAACCAAGTTGATCCTAAAAATGATTAACAATTGTTTTTTTTTGTTATTTGTTAACAACTAAATTAGAAAATTGAAAGAACACATGTTCAGATCAATTAAATTTTAAATGGAATACATCAAAGTAATTATCTGTTAAAAATAATTTAATAACATTATTACAAAAGAATTTATTTTGAAAACGTGAATTGTAATGAAATATTCCTTTGATTCAGATCACTTCAATGAAGCCAAATGTACATGAATATGCATTAATATGAAACTTCTCTTGTAGCTAGAACCCAGATTTTGATAAGCCTAACCTAATCTAAAAAATCTGCAAAAGCACCCTTAAGCTAAAACTAACACAAAATAGGAAAGAAAAAAAAAACCCTTACAAAATAAAAATTGAAACCCAAAAATTATTTCCTTCCAAAATTTACATAACTTAATTATATGTTCGGAGATGCAGTTTCCATTAAAGTTTGAAATAAATATTACGGGGAGAAAAAAAAGTAACAGATGGGAAAAACAAAGTATATAGAGAGTAAGAAAAGATTAAAGTGGTAAAAAAACTACAAATAAAAATGGCCTATAAACCTAAATTTAAAAAATATCCTTAAAATACTCGAAACAGTAAAAACTTAATCTCATAAAAATCTGGGGTTTAGCTTATTATACATTATTTTTAAAGCTTATTATTAGCTTATTATTATATATATACGTTCACTTTAAATTTCAGAATTTCAAATGAATCATTGATGACAAGGATCACTTAAGGAATCGGAAGCATTTGTAGGTTCATAGCAATATTATCATAAAATATATTTATTTTAAATGCTTGTGTTTGATTTCAAAAATATTATGTTTCCTAAGTATTCACTAGTAGAAAGCTATAACTATGGAATAAAATGACTAAGAAAATACTTCATATTTTGACAATTCAAAAACATAAAATAATGGAATGGTTTGACAAAATACTTTTTAGATGTTAAAAATTAGCCCCAGAACAAAATTTATTTATAATGAAATGAGATACGAGTTCCTAGTTTTCTCAGGGAAAAAGTAAAATAAATGCATAGCATTGAAATATTTAATGCATAAAAAAATTATTAAAACAAGAAAAAAATACTATCAAATATATCCTCAATGTACAAGTTATAAAAATGTAATAGTTACTCTAAAATACTTAATATGTCCAGGACGTCTAAAAATTACAGAAAAAATTAGGAATGAATTGATTTAGCAAAGAAATTAAAGAAGCTTAATTTTCATATATGTGTTATTATTTTTTTATTACAAAACATGTTAGTTAATAATTGCTACAACAGTAAAAAAAATGTTTTTTAAAACGTTAAAAAATACTAAAAATGTATGAAAATACCTTATAAAATAAAAATTTTGAATAATTAACTATTTTTAATGCATAAAATGGCAGCCTAAACTATAAATATTTAATTTCAGTTCAAAAACGATAGAATAAAAAAAAATTTTGCACATAATTTTAAAAACAAATGCATATAGCTTAATCACCGACATAAAAAATTGTTGTATACTCTGTGCATTTAAGAATTTTTAATCAAAACATACAAAAAGGGGGGGGCACTTAAACTTAATGACAAAATGATAAGTACAGCAAATAGCTTTATAACAGTCATGTATAACAGGTATATAAGACAGTTTTTTTATAATTTTATCTCCTTAGAAAAAAAAATTATTACATCTCGAGCATGAAGTATGAATTTTTTAAAGCACAGTTATGAAAATGTAATAAATTTATCAAGTTCCTGAACATATATAAGCCTTTGAAAACTTAAAGCATTGTAATTCTGTGTAAAAGTTTATAGAATTTCTCTATTACTATACACTAGTTTCTAATTAAATAATGAGAAGAAAAAAAACTAACTGTTCCATGAAAATTTCAAGTTCAGAGTATAATGAAAATAATGCTTAGAGGATTAAAGTAACAAATACTTCAAATTTTTATTCAGAGCTAAATAGATATTAATCATATAAAGCTCAGTTACAGTCATGTACAAAAATTAAATGAAATTGTTTAAGTTTTGAAAAAATAAACACATGATAACAAAAGATGAAACACATGAACCCCATTTACAATCATGTACAAGTACTTACAAGTGTAAATTACTAGCAAAGTATTAAGGAAATTTTTCCTTGTATTTCTTCCACTCTTTGACATGATTATCAAATCCTGTGGATCTTATTTTTGAATGTTTTAGTTTTTCTTTTTCAGATTTTCTTTTTCTTTTAAACTCTTTAAATTCAGCATAAATTTCATTATCAGACGTAGAAGCTTCAGATCGATGCCTCTTTTTCCTTTTCTTTTTCTCTTTGTGCCTAAATAAATAGCTTCATTAATATTATTAAATAAATAAAATATTTAAAAAGTATTTAGTTCTTAAAGTACAGCACCACCTTGAATTTTAAGGCATTTTCATTCATTATGTTGCCATTTTGTAAATAATAATAACAATAAACAACTTTTGAACAATGACAATAACATTAATGTACAGTTTTTGAATGAATAAGAAAAAAGTTACATAGCCCATTATGGCAAGAGGAGCTTATTGATTATACATGCATTTAGTTTATCAATTCTTTTATTAACTACGTGAGATAAGCACAATTATTTAAAATATATCAGCAATTCTTAATTTATTATGTAAACAATAAATACAAGGTACAGAACAGAGCAAAAAATTTAAGACTTTAAAAAAATGCTTATTTAAATGAACAAAAGAAGAACTTAGAAAATAAAATACATTTTATGATGTCTTATCTTTATGCAACATTATACAAATAAATCAGCAAGTTATTACTTCTTTAGCATCAATAACCATTTAAAGCAGTCTTGGCGCAGTTTCTACCAGAGACTTTAGTGCACACCTTATATTAGAATTGATACAAATCATATTTTTTTTTTCAGTGTTTCCCAAACTTATGACTTTTGTGTACCCTTTCTAAATTTTTCTTAACGCTGTGCACCACTAATAAAAAAAACGAATGTATTTTTTACTATAAAAAAATTGCACAAAAGTTAAAAATCACAACTAGCTGTTGACACCACTAATTATTAACTGTTAACTCTGCAAAAAATAGCCAATAGAAAAATACGTAATCGTAAATTTTCATGGCTAGCTTTGTTTATAAATAAATTTTTTTGAAAATTTCGTTTGTTGCAAGATATTTCGCATAAGAACGCGTACCCCTGCTACTCTGTCCCTGTACCCCACTTTGGGAAACACTGCTTTAGATCAACAAATGTAATATTGAAAAAATCAATTACTCTACATGAAACAAGCCTTTTTTTTCATTGATATACCATAAAAAAAATACAATCAGCAATTTAAAAAGTACTTATATTTAAATGGATATAAAACTAAATGGGTATAAATAAAGAACAACATGAATAAAGCACAAAAAATGGACATACTATAGTTTTTGTTTTAAAAACAAAAACCCTCCTCAGTGTCGAAACTCAAAATCTCAGGACAAATTAGGAGACAAGCATGTTATAATAAAAAAAAACGAGGTTCAATTATTAGGGGATGAGGAAAAAGCTTGGAAAAGATAATAAAAGGAAGAAGCTAACTTAAATCAGTGACTTAAAAAAGAAAAAAAATCAAGTGATTAAAAGTCATGTCACAACCATGCACTGTCTCTTCACAAAAGCAACACATAAATATTTAAATTGATCATACAATTTTTCTTTTCATAACAGAAAAAAAAGATTTACATTGAGAATTTCAATAAAATATTACAATTTTCTTAGTTTTCAAACAATATTAATGTATTTAATTCTAAGATGAGTAGCCTAGATGGTCTCCAGATGTTGATTTCTGAATAGTGCCAACCTAATTATGATCATTTAATACTTACTTTAGACTTTTTTTAATCTAGAGGATTTTTTCTTCAGACGTTCTTCAGGATACATTTCTAGAAATCCATTGTGATCCCACCTGTATTATAGAAAAGATAAGTTAATATTTTTCAGCTTTAAATCAAGAACCTACCTCAAAGATGTCTAAATTGGGTATCCATGCCAACTGAGACAATTCTGTAAGTTATCTCAATTTGGTACAAACAAGTATGTAGAAGTCAGTTTTACAAAACAAGTATGTAGAAGTCATAACTTGCTCATTTAAAAGTTAACAGGCAAGTCCAAGAGTCCATAATTAGGCATAGAATTTTGAAGTTGGGCAAACTTAAGACCTCCATCTTCAGTTTCAAACAAGGATGACAATACAACCACTACTTTGAAGAATTATAAAGTTCCTAAATTATCTTTCATTTTCTCTTTCTTTTTTCTCCGACTAAACAGATACAACTTATTTTGCAAAATAAACTTGCATGATAACAGATTTAGAATCCTCATTAGTTTGTATCTTGGTAGAACTTCACTTAGAATACAATCCAGCCTTCATTGTAGAACAGTAATTTTTCACCAAACTGTATAGGTTCCCATTTCTAACTATAATACTTTTATTACAACAGACCATTATTTTCACAGTGGAAAAAAAAACATTACTTGTATTATATTATAAAGTTTCCCATATGGCTCAAAATGTCACAAATAACCGATACTTTTATTATTATTATTAAAGACTTGCATCAAAAACCTTTTCACGAAACATTTTAAAAACAACAGAGGAGTTTGGATGACACATCGATCAATAACTATAATTACATATGAAATTAGATGACCTTAGAGCCCAGAATTACATATGAAGTGTTGAACTTTATAACGCCATTTTACTCAATTTTAAAACACAGCAACATACCCACTATTTTAACAAATTACACAGTTCTGAAGGAGATTTTTTTAAGAAAAAGATTTTATCAGCTTCTATTTTTATTTTACATAATTTTTTCTTCCAAATAGACATCAATATATTTCTAGAAATTTACTTGCATGCTGATTTCATAATTTGGACTCTTAAGATCCTGTATTTTAGTGGAATTTTTTCTTTCTTCATAAATAAGTGACTCCCTCCCCCGTTACACATAAAATCTGATACCTAAAATTTGAAAATGTCACAAAGAGTAAATTTTTTGCAACTGTTCATCAATATAGATAGGTAATTATTTAACTTATAAAATGAGATACTAATAGTTTGTAAATGTCACTAACAGTAAATTCTTCGCAAATGAGGCCATCATAGTAGTATAGTTAACAATTTATGTATGAAATAGACTCAGTGTTCAGATATTACAAGTGGGATTTTGAAGACTATCCTTCTTCAACTTAAGTTAAAAAAAGCAACAAATCCTACATGTTTTATTAAAAATTTTCTATCAGCTTTACTTAATTTTCCTTAAGATTTTCTGTATTTTCCATTATACAAGAACCAACACATTTCTAGAAATACACTTGCAAGATGACTTTAGAATCCTCAAAATCCTAGATTCTCTGTCATATCATCTTTACAGTAAAATATAAAGAAAATAGGAAATTTTTAGCAGTTGTAAATAAATTGCTTGTCACACAGAAGATAAAAAAAATTAAAATGAAATTTTCTTTTATGTGTTAATTGCACAAGGGCATAGAATGTATAGAAAGTTACTCACTTTAGATCTTGTGCTGATCTTCGCATGCGTCTTGACGATCTTTTAGCTCGCTTAATTGGATAAGGGGATAAGGGCGCTCTTTTAAGGCATTCTTTGCGATATTGTTCTTCATAACTGTAGTCATTAGGCCTATGTCAGAGAACAAGACAATCAAGAATAGTTTCCTTTTTCATTTAAAAATTGACTAACTTGAATCACTCTTTCAGATAGTAATTTGAAACAGATCCAAGTTTCCAGAATGTAGAATTACACACCTTACACAAAACTCAGCAAATAATATCACATTTCTTCACATATAAATTTAAATAACAATGACACGTGTAATAAACATTATTATCTAATGGATTTTTAATTATTTTCATCACAAAATCCTATAAAAATTTATAAATAACTGGAGCTCTGATAAAAGAATTGACACATGAAATAAAATAACTCGACAAAAAAACCAACACGCATCTCCTTTTCACAATATTGACAACAGTTGTAAATGCAATACGATAAATTAAGAGTTTCAGAGTGAATTAATAAAACTCTTCATATTATTTAAATCTTCGTGTACTTTTGTTTTGTTGTCTGAACTTTTGTTATAAATCATGACTCACAAATGTATATATAATTATTAAGAAAGAATAAATATAATCTCAATTCATGGAGTATTGAAGTTTTTATAATATATAGACGGATTATTAAAGCATATCAAGACTTAAACAATAATTCTTAAAAGATGGTTCCTAAAAGATATTTCTTTAAACACAGCTTAACATTAATTAAGAATCAGTTTTATTTCTTCTTCTTGTATTGAAATGAACAACCAGGTCATAGAATTCATAGGAAATTACTTACTTTATAACACGTTCTCTAGGAGATGGTCTTCTTCGAGTACGTCTTCTTGGGGAAAATGAGAGCGATGGTCTTTTAGAATGCTTATTTATATAAGGAGATAATGTTGTTCTTTTATACATTTCTTTGTGATATTGTTCTTCATAACTGTAGTGATTAGACCTGTGTCAGAGAATAAAACAATAAATACTAGTTTTTTTCTCCATTTATAAATTGACTCAATTTACTTTTCAGATGGTAATTTGTGACTAATCCAGGCTTCCAGAATGTAGAATTAAACATCATACATATGTATGAAACTCAACAAATTATATATAATTTCTTTGCAAATTAAAATAACAGTCAAATTTATTATTAATAAATACACCTTTAACTATTTCTCATATAAAATTTTGATTAACGTTAAAAATAACTGAAGCGTTGATGAAATATTTGACATATGAAATAATTCTAGAAAAACCAGCATTTATCTTCTTTTCTCAATGTTGACAACATTTGTAGTTCAATTGGATCAATGTTGATTGGCAGAATAAAATAAAAAATTGCTTTAAAACTCATCATATTATTCAAATCTTCATATAAATAACTGCTACACTTCCAATAAATCATGACTCAAAAATATATCTAGAATTATTTTGTGAAGAAATTCCTGTGAAGATACAAAATTTTTGTGCGAAATTTTACAATTTCATAGATAATTGTAAGTAAATGTCAACAATAAATAATTATAAACTGAGACTTACAGATGTACAAAATGAATAATGTCTTCTATCGCGTACAGTTAAAGTAATATAAAAGAATTATATTTATCACATGAACAGGAAAAATTATCACATAATTTTCAAAAGACTAAAACAATCCATTTTAACTCTAAAAGATAGTTTGAAAAAGATATCTCATTAAATAAGGCATAAACAATCTTCAGTTCATTTTCTTCATCTTCTATTTATTTGTATAACCAGGTTGTAGAACACATTGGAAATTACTTACTTCATAACACGCTCTATCGGAGAAGATGATCTTCGAACAAGTCTTCTGGGAGAAAATGATAGTGATGGTCTTTTAGCACGTTTACTTAGACATGGTGACAGTGATGTTCGTTTATGTAAATCTTTGACACATTGTTCTTCATAAATATGGTGATTTGACCTGCATTGGAGAATAAGAAAATCAAAAATAGTTCTCTTTCAATATTTCAAAATTAATTGACCTAAATTACTTAGTCAGATGGTGATTTGTAACAAATTGAGGTTTCAAGTTCAACTATGGAGAATTACATGTCTTGCATGAAACTCAACAAATTTCTTTGTAATTAATATTAATTACATATGGGGGTTTCTAAATACACCTTACATTGCTTCCCCATTAAGTAACTTTGTTATATATAGATATATTTGTAACACAATAAGATAAATCAGTTCAATTTTCGGTTTTCAGAATTAAATAAATATATACATGTCTTGCATAAAAGTGAATAACTATTCAAATTTTTTTTCTAAATAATTTACATTTTAAACCATGACTAAAAAACCTATCTATAATTATTTTCTAACCACATTCAGATGAAGATCCAAATTTTTTTGCATGAAACTTTACAATTTCACATACACTTGTAAACGTCAACAATAGTCAATTTTTAAAGTTGAGTCTTACAAAGAGTAATTCCCTCAAATTACGTCAAGTTAAAGTTTGGATAGCACAGAGATGGATTAGTTAGCATATAGAACGAAATATTGACTTAAACAACTTTTTTTTTACTCTTAAAAAAATGTGTCACATGAGATATCCTTTTAAACGCAGCATGCACATTCATTTAAAACCAGCTTCCTTTTCTTCTTTTTGTATTTAAATGTATAACCAGGTCATAGTATCTATAGAAAATTACTTACTTCAAGGCAATTTCCCTTGGAGAAGGTGACAATGATCTTTGAACACTTCTTCTTGGGGAGGATGATAAAAATGCTCTTTTAGCATGTTTATTTAGACAAGGTGATAATGTTCCTTGTTTACATAATTCTTTGCGATATAGATCTTCATAACTGTAGTGATTTGATCTGTGTCAGAGAATAGGACAATGAATAACAGTTTTCTTTTTCAGTACTTCAAAACTGACTAACTTAGTATACTTAGACAGATGGGGTTTGCGACAAATCTAGGCTCCCAGGATGAAGAATTACATTTCTTAACAAATTATTACAAACTTAACAAATTATTTCAAATTACTTTGGTAATGTTAATTATAAACAAATTTAATGTTTGCGAAGACTCACAAATTAACTTACATAAAAATAGCTGCAGATTTTATTTTTAATAAAAAATTGACAAAAATAAAATACCTTTACAAAAAAAAAAGAATTCTTTCTTTTTATTTGTTCTTCAAATTGACATTATTTGTAAGTCACTGCAATAAGTTATTACAAATTTTAGTTTCCAGAATGAAATATTTAGAGTGGAATTCATCAAATTATTCTAGACTTCTTAAAAATCAGGGTTACATTTTTTATATACAATGACTCACAAATATATCTAAATTTACTTTATTCTCAAAAAACAGTATGCTTTTATAAAATAAAAAAGTTAACACAGAAAATAAAACAACTTTACAAAGATAAACATAAAACATTTTTCAATTTTTAAAATTGACAGCATTTTTAACTCAATTTATTATTTAGATAACACAGCAATCCTACAACAGCCATCTGACAGTTGCTGGTTAAGACTCTAAAATTTTAAAACTAACAAAATGATTCCCACATGATACAATGGTATGATGTTAAAGTGGTCAGTATTGCACACTGGCCACCTTCACTAAAATAATATACATCTGTCGCAAATTTCAAAAATGTACAGTTATGAGAATCAAAATTTTGAAAATGCACTTACTTTTCATCATGTTTTTTTGAATTAGAAAACACAGTTTGTTTTTCTTTATTGTCTTTGTAAAAGAGTATTCCACATCGAGTACACCTGTATTGTAGAATTAGAAATCAAAAGAATTTTAATCCTCAACACTTAAATACTTGAGCATCACTGTAACTTGGAGTGTTTTATTTTTAAATTGAGCTTATATAAAAAAATAACATATGGAATCAACACATATATTACTCAGTTTTGCGTTTGTTTATTTTTCACGATGAGTACAAAATTTTGTTTAGCCAATAAATTTTGCTTGCAGCATCTACAAAAAAACAACAACTGCAATTTAGATATAGGCGTCAGGTACACAGTTGTAGTTTTATTTCAAAGTTTTATTCGGCGATAAAAATTCTGTTTCTAGCGATCAGGAAACTTATACAGTCATTTCACATGATCTAGATTTAAATACTAGTTAGCCAGAAAGCTTTTAAAAATTAATAAATGAAAAATTCGGCTAGTAGCAGATGTCAAACTTTAATTTTTATAAGACTCTGAGCTTCAGTAGGTATAAGTGCACTCTACTTGTCAGAAAGTAGTCATTGTTTCAAATAATGGTATATTTCCTATAAATACTACAATCTTTTAAATGTTAAAGTTATAACACTAATGTGAAGATTAGAACACTCTTAATTTTGTGAAAAGTAGTCAACACTTTGATTGATGATACCTGCAAAAACAATATGGTAATAAATTTTAATACAAGAGGCCAAGAAATGTTTAAAACTTGTATTTTCTATAGACACAGTGCAGCAGATGAGAATAGAGCATTCTAGTTAATAAGAGAATGGTTGGGATTCAGATTGAGGAAAACACTAGGATTAAATTTTGGTTGTAGGACTCAACTGAAAACACTTTAAACTTGTAATTGTACACACAGACATATCTCAAGTTCAGATTTGAACACACTAGCAAGTTGATTGATGAAATTTTGATCGAAAATAAATTCTATTTTTAATGACCAGGAAATTAAAACTTTTATTGTGTTTAGATTCTGAGTTTTAGATAAGATTATGGCAGGAAAGTAATTAGTTTTTATAAATGTTTAATTTCCAGAAAAAATATTAGCACAATAAATTTTATTTGCAGTGGTCAGGAAACAATGAGAATTTAAATTGTCATCAGATACCAAACTCCAGTAGTGATTAAAGCACTTTACTTAGAAGTCAGATTGTGTAGGGACAATATTATGGTAAATTTTGTTTGTAGTGGTCAGAAAATGATTGAAACTTGGATTATTATCAGAAACTAATCTCCAGTAGAAATTAGAGCACTCAAATTTGGAAGTTCCTCAATATTTTGATTGATGATTAACTTCTCGTAATGACAATATGGGGATGTATTTTGTACTGATCAGGAAACACAAAACAACTTTGCCATCAAACTTTGCCGACTACTCAAATAATTCAAAGAAAATGGTAAAAGAAAAACTGACAGCAAGCAAGAATGAACAAAAACAGTTACGAAAAAAGATTATTCGGTAAAAATCTACCACTGACTTACATATTAAAAAATTTATAAACTACACTTATATAGTAAGTCCGTTCTGAATTACTTCAGATATTTGGAATTCCTACAGACTAACATACATAAAAACAAATAAAAATAAACTCAGTGAATGAAAATACACTTATTTAGAATATCCTATTTAAATTATTAAGTTCTTATGAGTTTTAATGACAATATCAAAAAATAAAAACACAATATCTTATTAATATAAATGGGTTAGTAAATGCTTAGAGCTATTCTGTTTGCAAAATAAAACTCATAAATACAAGTTTTGAACATCTTCATTAATGCATAAAAAGAATATAACATACAAGATTATACAACTATGAAAAAATTCCTTTTAGTTTCAAAAAGGAAAATAATTCTATAGAAAAGTAAATGATTTCGTAAAGTATACAAATAGGTATTCTTCATATTTAAGATACATATGTAACTTCAATTCAAAGCAACATAAATGAATGAAAATTTGAAGCTGTACAAATGATAACTGGCAATGCATGTTAAGAGATACACTTAATTTATATCTTTAACTAGATAATACAGAAATAAGTAAATTTTTTATTTGAAAAAAAAAAATTAATATGGTGTTTGATTTAAAGAAATATCAGTGTTACTTTTTTTTGCACTTTTTCCCACTAGAAGCTGCTAGTTGCCTTTCTTGATCTTCATCAGAACTTAAGTCTCTATCACACCTACAATGTAGAAAGAGAAAGATTCATAAAAGTTTTTTCATTTACTTATAATGAATTTGGCACAATTTTTTACCTAATTTGTTCACTTACATCCAATGACAACCAACAACCAAAAGTTTGTATGAGTTATAAAACAAATATTTTGATACAAAAATTTGCCAAAATGCTCTAGTTCTCAATTAAATATTTCAATAACAACAGAGATGTATAAGCTTTTTTTTTTAGCATAAGCGAGATTAAAAGAGCATCATTTTATTCAATTACTTTATTGTCTAGTAGTAATATTACAGTCAACCCTTTTTAGAACGATTCCCATTACTGCAATACCCCTTTGATTATAAAAAAAATACATAAAGTTGCATTTGCTATTTTATAGATGCAACATTATTTCAACACATATTTAAAGATCCACATTGGACCTTCCATTATAATGACTGAAATTTTATTTCATTTTTTAAAAAAAATTCTTAAAAAATCAGACATTAATCATTTTTTGTTCTTTCAAAACAAACATTTTTCAGAAGAAAATGAATCAATAGATAACACAGGATGCAATTCTCTATACATATAATATGTATATATATGTGTCTGTGACTTCATATTTTTTTCTGTTTGAGAATTTGAACAATCCTAATTTTATTTTTTAAATAATAAGATTTTGGGAACCAGTTTAAAGTACAGTTGTGTAAAATATGTTACTTTATACAAGCATGATATAACAAATAAAAAATAAATATGCATACTTTTTGGAAAAACTTTTAGAACTTGATGATGCTGATGATGATCTTTCTTTCCGTGATTCATCAGGATATAGTTTGTGGAATCCACTATGACCCCATCTAATAACAAAATAAAATGTTAATTAATTTAATTAGAAGAATAATGTAAAATTTTTTTAAACTAATCATACAAACAAATTTTTAGTTCACTCCAATATCCAATTTTTGTTATTGATTGAAGCTTATCCTAAAGCATATATTTATTTCACAATCACGTCAGTGCTTCTATCTGATTTTTAAAAAAATGATGGGTTCTTAATACTGAGGACTTCAAATTTCTGGGTCCCATTAAACTAAACGTGGGTCCCTATTTAGAAAATGAATTTTCCCTCTCTTAAACCATTTGTTAATATTCACATTCATAGAGATTCCATCTATAGATAGATAAAATAAAGAATTAAAAAACAAGGAGAGTTGTATTGAACTATCAAAGCAATAATTAAATTTCACATCAACTCATCATTTCATTAAATGAACTATGATAATGACAATCATTCAATGAACTATCAAAGTAATCATTGAATCATGTGTAATTTGACACTTAGAATAATTCTAACTTTCTACTTCAATAATTAAGTAAGAAGAAAACAAACTTATATAAAATGTTTTGTTACATATTTTTCTTCTATAATTTTGCCTACATAAATCTGTCATTCTTTTTTCCAGAACATCCTGTGATAACTTATTTTTCATGCCCCCTCTACCATTTTGGTGTATTTGATGCATTATAACACGTAGGCGGAGTAACTGCTGATGAAATTTTATTTTAGAAAGTAAAAATTTTTTTTATTTAGGAAATTATTAGTTAAAGAAAAATAATATAATTAAAAAAATGAAAATTCATTTCACTTAATTAGGAGCCAAATTTTACAACAACAATGATCTAACCTCAGAAATACATAAACGAACCACAAATGCAAACAATGCGTTTTTCAGTTTCANGGGCAGAGCCCTCTAGTATAATTAAAAAAATGAAAATTCATTTCACTTAATTAGGAGCCAAATTTTACAACAACAATGATCTAACCTCAGAAATACATAAACGAACCACAAATGCAAACAATGCGTTTTTCAGTTTCATAAAATACACAATGTCCAGTTTTCTGATATTAAAAAGTAAACATCCTTAATATAAAACTCTTACAAGATCTGTTTCATTATATGCATCTGAGACATGGGCATTAACTTTGAGAAATGAGGAGGTGTTGACAATTATTGAGAGAAACCTACAAAGTATTTGTGGAGGAACTTAGGTGGATGGCTTATGGTGAAGGTGAACACACTTAGAATTGAATAAAATCTTTAGAAAGCTTTATGTTGGGAAACACATGAAAATCCAAAGGATAAAATAGGCTGGACATCTGGTGAAAATAATGCAGAAAGGTAAGAACAGTCAAGAATTATTTCTAGCCAAGCCTATAAGAACTAAATGCAGAGGCAGACCTTTGGTTTCTCCATCAGTGGAATTCGTATCGACCAGCTATCGCGGGTCTATACAAATCCCGTACCCAGCTTGCACTGACCACAGTGCCACAAATTTCCTCAGTGGTAGATGGATCATGGGTTAGAGTTTTCTTGCCCTCAGGGTAACAGTGGGAGATTTTCAAGGTTTTCTTCTCCATGCAACACAAATAAGGGTTAGTTTCATCAAAAAAGTCCTCAATGAAGGCAAATTTATATATCTATCTATCAATATATATATATATATACGAACTTTGATGTAAGTGCAATAAAAAAATTATATTTCATAATAAAAGGTCTTTAAGTGCAAAATCAGGGAGATGTTTTAATTTTTATTAAATCATTCTTTTTATTTAATTTAAAGCTTTGGAAAAAATAATTTTACAATTGGTTTAAATGTCTTCTAAAGCAAGAGTGTATTCAGATAAATGTTAACAAAATCTCTGATTTTAAAAACTAAAAATTAGGGGTAAGTTCATACTAAAACGGAAATATATGGCAGGTGAAATGTTTTCACTACTCACTTTTTGAATTGTTCTTTTGTTGATTTTAATGGTCTTTTCTCAGCAGTTTCATCTGGATAAAGCTCTTTAAATCCATTATGATCCCACCTGCAGTATGAAGAAACAAGGACATTTTACAATTTTTATTTCAGGAAATATATTTCAGTGTTCTCTAAGCGTTTTTAAAAGGGTAACCTGCCCTGCTTGCCTTTTGATTCCCATAAATGAGCCCTCTTTGCCTTTTTTTTGTAAAACTAAGCAGCCCCCCCCCCCTAAAAACACTGCTTTTTTTATTTATATTCCTTTTCAAAGAAAAATTAATTAACTGTTAAAATATAAATTACATACAATAATTATCTGTGTTTATAGGTTTCATTCTGATTACTTTTACAAATATTTGCTCTGTTAAGATTATTCTCAACTGGTTACATATTTATAAGTTTCTTTTTTGCAAGTGATTTTAAATTTTAAAATTATACTTTAACTTAATGTGCTTTTTTTTTTAAATTGCATCTTTATAACTCTAATAATTTTCAGTATAAATCATAGAAATCTTTCAAGCTGATAATTAATTAATTTCTTAAAATTTACTTGTATTTGAAAAAAAAAGTATGCACAAAAATTATCTCCTAGCACGCCTTTAATTATTATTCATAAACTACAAATTTTTCTCTTATTTAGATAATGAAAGAAAATTACTTTTTGAAATGTACACACAAAATAGTNTTTTTGACGGTTTAAACCAGTATTATACCCTTGTCATGTCAAAAACCACTTTTTGACGTCAAAAACCCAACCCTGGCATCTTTACAATTCTAATGATTTTCAGTATAAATCATAGAAATCTTTCAAGCTGATAATTAATTAATTTCTTAAAATTTACTTGTATTTGAAAAAAAAAAATATGCACAAAAATTATCTCCTAGCACGCCTTTAATTATTATTCATAAACTACAAATGTTTCTCTTATTTAGATAATGAGAGAAAATTACTTTTTGAAATGTACACACAAAATAGTATAGGACGGTAGCTTAAAAATTGTTGAGGATCAAATTCAGTTATTACATGACATAACACATTTTGATAAATTTTAAGTGTTAAGTTAGTGCCCTTTTCTATGAGGAAGCACACTGCCCTTTTTAATTCCTGGGGAAAACTCTAATGTTTGAACAAAATTGCTGACAAAATTGCTTGCAAAATTGCTATTTATTCAAAATTGATATTATTGTAGCATTATAACTACCAGCATTCGAGAACTTGCCAATATTACAAGAAAAAAAAGAGAAATTTTTAAATTATAACATAATTAAAAAATTATCAAGCAGTAAGAAAATTTTCCTTTTAGTTGAAAATTAAACCAGAAAAATAACAAATTATAGTATACTAAATTTGAATAATATTAAATTCTAACTGCAATGAAATTTGTATTATATACACATATATTTACTTTACAGAGACCTCTAGGAAAACCACAATTTTACTTATCCTAATTAAACATTTTAGTAAGTTGCAAGAGCCAAAATGGCTGAATTGTAAATTGAGCATTTTAGCTATGTTGCTTAAAAAATGTATTTACAGGGTATCTGCTACATTTTAGATTTTCAAATTCATGAAAATACAACAGCAAATAATACTTTTTTCTTTTTTTTCTGCAGAATTTCATTCTAAAGATACTTTTCTTGTTCATCGGAAAGGAATGAAATACTCCTGATTTTTCTGTTTTCATTTCAGAATAAAAAAATTCGCTAATGACTGGCTTGCTTCAGCTAAAATTTTAAACTGATAAAATAAAAACAAAAACTCTGAAATCACAGAAGTTTAAAAGATAATTTGCTCTAGAAATGTTTTTTCTTTCATTTTTTTAAAGAGCACGATAAAAACATTTTATATTTTAATCAAATGTGACTGTGAGTGCAGATTTTGTTACAAATTCAGATATTCAGAACACCATGAAATTGGGGGGAGGGGGTACATTCCATTTTAAAAATAAGATTTTTCGGCGACCTAAATCCATGACTTTTCATGACAAATTTTGTTCAATACTGAAATTCATTACTTTCCATGATTTTTCATAACTTTCCAGGTGTACGGATACCTTGTATTTATAAAACTAAGGTATGACACAATAAAAAATTTACGTTCCACGTTTGAAAATACTTACAAAAATTTAATTGAATGAAAATGTATTAATTAAGTTTAATAAGTGAAAATATTGACAAAATTTGAAAAAAATGAAAATGTAATGTTAGTACTTACAGTAATTTTTAAAACAATTTAAGTTAAAAAAATTCCAGAGAGTTGGTAGCCTTGATATTGACAATATGTCCCGCACACATTGTGACTAACTTCTATACGAAGGTAGGGCATATCAGGAGGATTAAGAATTGCACAGGAACCCAAGACCAGAAATGTCATCCTACATAGCTGGGTGCGCTTCCATGTTATGAAGATTTTGTTCTTATGCCTTAGAACTTTTACATCACTAAAATATCTTATTTTAATATTTTTGATAAATTATTATGGTGAATTGCAATTAAATAGGGTCAGGAATGGATGATTTATCGTAAGATGATGATTTGGCGAGCTTGTCCAGTTAGTCGCCAAATGATGAAATTAGGATAAATCAATCTGCATAAAAATGTCCTACTTAAGGCTTATCAATGAGCAATTCCACCAAGTAATGAGAAAGCAAACTTCAAAATAATAAAGTACTTGTTCGTTATAAGAACCTTGAACATGTTCACCAACACCTAAGAACAGCTCATAATTTTGGTTTACACAAATCACTCACTCGTTCTATTTGAGTAACAAAAATATTGATAAATGTAAAAATAATATAAACCTATATTTTGGAAAAGTATTATGATATATTGTTAGATATAGATTTTTTTAACAATACATCACATTACTAAAATTTGATCTTAACAGTTATAGAGACCATTATTCGTGTTGGCGACAACTTGCAAAATCAGACACCGACACATGGTTTAAGTATTATAAATTACCCTATTTCTTACCTGTCAGCTGAAGAGGTTCCAGCTACTGTGTCTATATTCATACCGCTTCGAGACCATTCTTGTGATTCGGCCATTTTTTGATGCTTGGAGCACCGATGATTCTTTCGTATCTTTTTCAAAATATCATCATCTGAAACCATCATAGTGAGACCTCTTTCGATTTCCCATTGTTTCCACATCTCATTTTGTTCTATAATCTAATAAATCAACAAAGAAAAATAATGCAAGTTCAGGAACATAGCACTCATCAAAAATATCAAAGAATGAAACACGTTTCCATTGATTTATAAATATTTTTGATCCAGCCCAAGCTGATGGCACCAAAGCTATTTTAATTTCATCTAGAAATATTCGCCGCAAAGCCCTGTAGCTGAAGATTCTATGATGAAGAAGTACATTATAGATTTATAATGTCAACATATTACTTTTATAATGCAAAAAATTACATTGCCGACTAGACTGCGTAGTGATTAGGGAGCTGAGCTTTTAGGTTTGAATCACGGACAAGAAACGGATGTCCTTTAATTCTCTATACCACCTGTCCTTACTGTGGGATCAACGTTAGCCCATTTAATATGGTGCCCTTAAGAGAGTGGCCAACAAATCTGTCCTACTGATACCTGAATGACGAATAACTTGATTTAAATATTTTTTCTCTCTTCTACGCAGTGATTCAGCTAGTTTTTGAAAACTAGGAATCACCACAGTCAGGGTTTTTGAATTTCTGGGTCCGTTTTTTAATAAAAGCAGGTCCCTATTAAAAATAATACTTTAAAGACAATATATATATATATATGCCAGCCTGATGAGGGAAGCTAGATAACAAGGACTAATGTTGAAAATAATAAAAGATCAAGGAAGAAAAGTGAAATGGATTTTATTTAAAATGGCGGAAGACGGAATTTTTTCCAAAATTTGTGAGATTCGCCATTTTGAAATTGAGAGTGCATAAACTTCTTGCGCTAATAATTTTTTAATGCGAGAAAATAAAAAAATATGCGAGATTTGTTCTGTAGTGAAAACACTGAAGTGCATCATTAGGGCACTTAAAATTGCAAATACACAATATAACATAATCAGGGTTTCTACTCTATTTTGAGAAAACAATATTCTGACTTTTGCAGGTTTTTCCTGACCTTTCACAATAAAATTCCTGACCCACCGTTTCCCACTCCAACAAAACTTTTAACATTGCAGTTTCAATTAGTAATAATATGCTACTTAGTCATAAGTATCATTGATTGAATAGGATAAACACTTATATATTAAAGTGGAATTGTGTAATAGCACTTTATATCCCAAATTATCTTTTCAGAAAACTTGTGAAACATATTTTTAATTATCATGATTAGATTAAACTTTTAGTGTGTTTTTGTAGTTAGATACGAAAACTATTTAAATAAAAAGATCAAGAAAATCTGTTGGATTATGAAAATATTATTTTATTTAATGTTAAGTGGAACCAAATGCATGAGTGTCGTCAGGATATAAAGGGTAAATCAAATCTGCGAGACATGTATCAGTATCCTCAAACAATATTTACTCTTAAAACATACTAGAAAATTTGTTACATTAAAATATTAATTTTTAAAAATCACAATTTCACTTAAAACTGACTTTTCTTTTAAAAGATAATATTGAAATATAAAGGGAAAATTATAAAAGTTAATTATATACAAATAAAAATTCAGATAGAAAAATTATGTAACTTGTGAGAAAAATAAAATCAAAAATATCTTCTTTTTTTTTCAGTATTTTTAAATTTATTTCTGTAATACTGTAAGGTTCCGGAGAAACTCAGGGGCTCCTATGTCATATAATATTTCTCAACATATTTTGTTGTTTGACAATTTCTGAATCAAGAACATCAAGTTCTGTTGCAGCAGTTTTCCTCAATTTAGATTTTCTTAACCTCAAATCATCTATCTTTTCTTTTATTCGTTTTCTAGAAATTTCAGCTTTTTTATTCTCTTCGTTTTTCTTTTATTTTGGCTTCTAATGCATGTCTCCATCTTGTTCTAGATCCTTTTACAGCAACTAGCATTTTTTCATTAATGTCTATGTTTTTTATTCCATTTATAAATGAAACATTTTCATACACACGCCTTTGTGAAATAATAGAGTCTTCATTGAGGTATTCAACCAATAAGCTTTTATTAATTGAAAAAACCCCTTCGACTGTTGCGTTACCATGAGAGAGGATAAGAACAATTTTTATAACCTCCCACAAATTTTCAAATTTTAATTTTCTCCATGCAAATATTTCGAAAAAAATTATCTAATCTCTTTTGCTGTGGATTAAACTCTAAGAAACTCTTTTGCTCTTCTTTTTTTTTTGCAGCATCACAAAACAGTAAAAATTCCTTTTTTGACTTTTCTGCTGTTGTTTCAGCTACTATTGTCTGTAAACCAGTTATTCACACAAAAACCAATAAGCCTAGCAACCCTATCAAAAATTCCTTATCATTGGATAAACAGGAGGAAAATTGCTAACAGGACAGGTTCTACCAGGGAAAGAGGAATGTTATTATGAGGAAATTACATATTTTGAAATACAGAATTTTTCCTTAAAACTTTATTTTTGACGGTCAGTCTTATTTTCCTAACTTTATGAATATGTAAGAAAAATCCTGACCTTTTAGCTTAATTTTAGAATAGCCTGACTTCTGCAGGTTTTCCTGACCGTGTAGGAGCCCTGATAATGTATGGTCAAGACTAAGTTCGTAAGACAAGAATAAATGCAACAATAAATAACATATAAACAATTACATTTATTAATAAATATGATATATTTAATTACAAATAAGACGTAGTAAAACGTTTTATAACACACTGCAACAGGGCATTGTCATGCCCTGTGTCATGTCAAAGTTGCATTTAATATCTTAGCTTTTTTTGACACATAGTATTAAAAATTAGAATATAGTACTTTTAACCTTTATACAATTAAAATTGCAATTAGTAGTGCTTAAAATATTAGTTTACTTTGATTACTTTCGAGCATTTTGATAAATTAAAATCGGTCAAATAATCTAATTTAGATTTTAGTGGTAAAATATATTGTTAAATAAAATTTATTAGCTTGCAAATTTTGTTCTTAACTTATCTTTTTCTCACGGAATTTAGGTATTTAACACGTTAATAATTTAGAAAATACTATTTTAAAGCAATAAAAAATACCTTCACTTCATAAGAACTTCACTATATAAAAATAGCAAATTTTCATTTTCTTAAAAAATAAAATAAAGAAACATATTAGAACATAAAATTATTCAAGCTACATTACGATACTATGAAATATGGAAAATGTAAGCGTAGTTTTAAAAATAAATCGTAATAATAAAAAACAAACAAAAGAGTTAACATTAGGGTTGAAAAGAATATTAAGGTTCACTAAAATTGCTATGTATTATGATACTGTGCATTATTCTTTAGAACTGATAAATTTGTTAATTTAGATGCTATTCTGCTAAGAACTACTTTCATAAAATTTTATAACTCCCACGCAAATAGATTAAATAGAAGGAAAAAAAAACATTAACTGTCTATAAAACATACGAACACGGATGAAAAATGGGCACCTAAATATTGAAAACTTTTATGTTAAATATTAAAAAAAATTGTTGGAAAAATTTCTGTGTTCTCGCTTTTAAATACAAGCAGGTAAAAAGTGAAAATAATTATTGTCTAAGAACAATTACTTTGTTGTGGAAATTCGCCGTATTTATGCTGTTTCGAAGTAATTCTTTACCAGCTTCAGTAACCATGACAGAAAAATTAGATGGGAAAATCCACAAATAATAAGGTTAAGTGATATTTTGTAGAAGAACCTTAAATAATTTAACGATACAAATTTATTCTAATAACTTGCTCGATGTTTCAAATCAAAACACTGAAAACGGAATTAGATTTCTAGTTGATTAACTGATTGGGTATATACAAGAGCAGTTGAAGTGATACACCAAAGTTTCGAATTTAAAGTTGAAATAGTTTTTATATATGCTTTTATTTTTCGTCATTACGAACTAGTTTTTTGCATACTTATTGGTGCTTGACTGAGAGACCTAGGCTAAAAAGTTGATAGATTGATTGCCATCAAGTTAATTCAAAGCATACTGCCACAAAAAAATACTAAATTATAAAACCAATAAAGACACCCAAAAGAATTTCTCATTCGAATTAAATACGTGCCATTGGTTTATAATTATGTACTTCAATCTGTCATGAAGTGAAATGATAAATTACAGTAGTATAACCGTGAGCACAACAAATATTATTCGTGTACTGCATGTGTTATATGAATCAAAATCAATGAAAAACCTAAATTTCGATCAACAGTTTTGTTGAATTTAAACGCATATTAATAATAAATAATTTATTAATATTTTTTTCTGATAAAACAGTTACAATGAATGCTGTATCTGATGAAATTAGATTTGCACAGAGCCTTGGCTCAAACCAAGTAAAAGTTCGAGAAAAAGCTGTAAAAAGTTTGGGAAAATACTTTAAACGAGTTTCAACATCTAAGGATTGTAAGATAAAATATACCGATTAATATAATACCATGTTATACTTGATTTTTCTAATTTCTTTTACGTGAACAAACTTTCTGTGCAGTATTATTTTGATTTTACCTAGAAAGTTTTAACTTTATTAAGTGGGAAAAGTATAACGTTATATTTCTTTTAAGCGTTATTTTTAACATTATAATGTCTGATTACAATCGTTAAGTTTTCAAAATGTTAGCATTCGAATTGAACTTTTTTGTCTAAAGGTGCTAACATCAGTATACATTTAGATAATTTAAATTATTAGGATAAAGAAGTGTTTCACTATATTCTATTAAAATTCACATGAAATTTTAAATTAATTATTGAATTGCATTATTTTATTTGTATATATGATAGGCATTTTTCTCAGTTTTATATCCCATATTTTTATAGCTGTAAAATATAAGAAAAGTAACTATCAACTAATAGGCATATAGATTTTATATTGCTCATAATCAAAACATTTTATAATCAATTATTTAAACCTATAAATTATTTTTTTATTAATAACTGGTCTCTTCTAAAGGTGATGAATATAACTTAACTCGATTGTAAGAATTAGGCATCCCTGCTGACACCCATTTACTTCTTTTATCAAGGTTCTATTATTTTAGTGTATTCAACTTGCTGTAGGGCATAATGTATAATCACTGTAGTTATTTAAGTGAATGTATAAAATAAAGAAAGAAATAGTGATTTTATAAATTAAGAAATACATAAATTTTATTTGAGTAATTTTTGGTAATTTTATCCTCATGCAACTTAATATTTTTCGTAAAACTTAACCCATTGGAATTTTTTTAAATTGTTTTTTGCACATATTGCATTTATTTTATAAATATTCCAAATAATTCTACCTTATTTTATTATACTTAAAATTTGATTATTCGATTAATTGAATTTAGCAAAATTTTTATGTGAATCACTCACTCATTATACATTTGTAGTACAAATTAACCAAGATAAGTTATTGTTGCATGTCTCTGTTGTTTAGAAACACTAAATCAGGTCTATGGAATTTGTCACTCTAAGAAAGGATTATACTAGAATTGGTTTTGTAAAAAGATGTCCGAAAAGCCCCAGGCAGTCTAGTATAAGGTCGGAGGTGGCCTAATGGTCAGTCACACTGGTTGGGAAAACCCTTTTTCCTTTGGAATAAGACAGATCTCAAATATCTATTGATAGGCCTGGTGATGGCAGTCTGGTTCTGCCTAGAAAACCGGAAAAAAGGGGGGCAGCTTCTGTTGAAAGGAGATGACTGCAAAAGGTCTTACTTGGGCCCCATCACCTCAGGCATTAGCTGGGCAAAAAGATAAGAAATCTAAACATTAGTCTTGTAATTACCAAATGTAAATATACGTCAACTTTAGCTATTTGGTTATGCAAATCAAATTGATGGACCATTGTGGTTTTGATATAAGATCACAAATATCCCCATCAGCAATTAGAAATCTCTTAAAGGCTGCCTCAATATTTCTGACAGATGAAGAGAAATTTAATGAATTATTATTGATTTAATTTCCTTCAAGTTAAAAATAATCAATATTTTTCAAGTATTTTACGCATTAAAGAATTTTTTTTTTTTTTGTTATGGGTGAAATCTGCAGAATTATTGTTCTGTAATTTAATTTTATCCCACTCAAAAATTTGGTCCTTGTAATCACCATGGGGAAGTTGAAATATTTTTATCATGTAAATGCATACTACAATTTGTGTTTTTTCAAATAAGTTAGAATCTAATGAGTTTTATTTTTTATAGCTATGTCCGAAGAGAACATGATGAAACTTTGGAAAGGAATATTCTATTATTTTTGGAATTGTGATAAACCCCTATTTCAGGTATTATTTATTTTTTATGTGTGATTTATAAGTATATAGATTTGTATTATGCGTTTTATTGATTTCAGATCAAATATGTAAAGGTTTTATTTTCTCTTAGCGTATTTATTATTATTTGAAGATAATAAAATTTTATTTTAACTCATAATTTTGATTCTATGACTCATGCAATAAGTCTTGAACTTATTTATAAATTGCTCACATTCTAGTTTTTTTTTTTTAACTTCTGAGTTTGATTGCATGAAACTGTTGATTTTTGTCTGATGTTTGAAATTCAGAAAGTAAAATTTTTTAATTATCTTATGTATTTACTTAAAACAAAACAAATAATATTTTTCCCATGTCTTTTTTATTATAATTATTATGGACTTTACCGGAACATATTTATGATGAGATTGAAATATATATGAATGCATAAAATCGCAAAAGGACCTGGATAATGAAATATTACGCTTTTAATTTTTATTTAAGAGTTCTTTTAATTCCGTTTCTATAACATTTAATAAAGTATTCTCACTTCAAATTTTATAATCTGGTATTTTTCTCTGAAAATACAGAATGATATATTCCTTAACAAAAATAATTACTTTCATTATTCTACCATTTGAATTTAGATGTTTATCAAATAAAAAGTATCATTAATAAGTATTGCTGTGGATAAATTGGACTTAAATTTTCAGGGCATGATACCTTCCTATATATTTTACTTTACTCATAACAGGGTTGGGATTTTGCCGTCAAAAACTGGCTTTTGACATGACAGTGGTAAAAACCGTGTTTTTACCGGTAAAAACCGTGTTTTTACCGGTAAAAACTGTCAAAAACATACTGTTTTCTTTAACTTATGGCATATAGCGGACAATATATTATTTTCACATAATTGCCTTTATAAATGAATGTTGTAAATGATTGCTATTGATTTTGCAACTATATACATTTATTCTTATAGGATATACATTCATACAGTAATATTGTAATATACTTATTGAAAATAGTGATACTTACTTTTATCATTATAGCTTGATTTGCAAATGATTCAAAATTTTGCACTTCTTAATTGTTAGAAATAAACAAACAAAAAAGCTTGAAACTATTAATAAATTCAAGAACTAAAAAGAATTTAAAATTTGGCATTTCTTAAATTAGCTAAAATAAACTTTCAAAACTTGTAACTACTAACAAACTCAAGGCAAGAATTACTGCTATTTTGTCAAGTTAAAAGCTTTTTTTCAGTTGAAAAAGCACATTAAGCAAAACTTAATTGCAAACAAAATTACATGTTCAGTAGTCGAGGTCACTGTGCCAAAGCCTACAATAACAAGTGACTAATTTTGAGCATTTTTCATTGCCCAGTCGATTTTTGAGTTTAGTATGGATGAGTCCAAAATTCGAGAACATTCTTTCAATGGAAGACCACCAGTCTAGTTCCAAGGAAGCCTGTCATTGAGGATAATGATAACAAAAGGTTATTGCAATGTTGCAAGGAAACTCTAAAAGGATTTCCCAGGCTTTTTCATGTCTCATTTCTGTGTAAAATATTGAAAACAAAAATGATAAGAAAAGTTTATTTTATGAGGCTTTCTTTTTATGTGTACATGTGTTTCTCAAAGCAAGATTTTATGAATGAAAGTAATCAATNGATTTTGAAATCCAACATCGCGATTCTTAATCTAAGGCCTCTAAAAATTGTGTGAGAAATGAACTTTCTTGTCCTATCAACACTGATGATCAAAAGTCTGCAAAACGCAGTCTACAGATCAGTCATGTTAATAAAAGACCATCGAAAAAACAAAGAACTGATGAGAAAGTCCATAAAGGTCCTTTAACCAATAAAGAAATGTTTTTTAAAATGATGTGATACATAAAATCCTGCTTGTGCATAATTACTCAAAGTTATCTAAATTATTAAAAAAAAATTATTTTAATCAAGATTTTATTTAAGAACATAATTACCATTTATTTATATTTATTTGAATAGATAATAATGTAATCATTATCAGATTGGCTATTGAATTCATATCATTTTTTCTTTTGCACGTTTAATGGTACAGTTATAAACTTCCTCTTTTTTGTGTTTTTGTCAATCACATCCCTGGAAGCTTATCACAATGTAAATGTTTACAAACTGTCTGTTTATAATCAACCTATGCAATATGTTAATTTAAGTTAATGATCTTGCTTCTAATATTATTGTAACCTTCAAAAACTATTCGTTTTAGTTTAAACTTGTTGAAAAACATTAAAAAAAATGGGTTTTAGGTTTATATAGAAAACTATCAATAAGTTTTAAAATTTTATTTTTTATGAACTGTTGGTGAGTGAATTTGGTGTACCGCTAGACTTAGCTAAGTGCTGTGTGATAGGGGTATATATAATATTTACAATACCTTTGTCTGAATTATCTGTTGCTCTATATTTTAGTACAAAAAGCTGAATTTATTTAATATGAATTTATTATTTAAAGCTTTTTTTTATGATTCTACATATTAAAATTTTAATGCTAAAATACACTTACTTTTAAATTTAATATTCTTAAGAGAAAAATATAAAAAATGGCAAAGTGATTCAATCACAACAAAAGCAAAAAAAGGTTTTTTTACTATCATGATGGTGCAATTAAGGCTTTATATTTAACTATATAGAATGAGTTCTCACTGAAGTTTTTGCCTTTATAAAATGTTGGATTATAGATTTTCCTGATAACAGTTTTTTACAGGAAAAAAATAACAAAATTCAATAAAAATATTTGTCTGTTTTAAATAGTAAAGACCTTTTTCTTTCAATTATTTAGGAAATAATATAGACATCAGAAAGATATGCTATGTGTATCTAATTTTCATATGAATGTATACTTTCTCTTTAATTAAATGATATCAGAAGAATTTATTTTTGAGCATTTATGCTTTTAAATATACTAATCAAAAAAAATTTTAAAAGTGCTTAATTTCCCTTTTCCAAAATGAGATTTTTCCTTTACCATGTTGATTTTCGCTATAAAGTATGCAGAAAGACACCGTTCACATTGTTCTATTTACGTTTTAGCAATTTCTTCAACCCTAATCTATTACTGCTTATCGTGCTGGTATGAAAACGCCATTCGATTTGTATGATAAAAAATTTTGACCATTAGTCAAAAACAATGCCGAAAGTTTTTAAAAATATTTTTTGACATGACGGTTAAAACCAAATAAAACCGTCAGTTGTCAAAAATTTTCCAATCTTACCTAATTGTGTTTTTTTAAGTGCTTAAAAATATTTCAGTGCTTAAAAGGTGCTTATTTTTTGTTGAATAATTTGGCTGCTCACCCAGTTTATAAAAATATCCAACTACGGTGTCAAGTGTGGCTATTGTAACATATTATTGTTAGAGAACAAATTAATTAGAATAACTATGTTTTATATTTAATCTATATGGATCTAATTGTTCATCAAAAGTTTAAAAGGAAATAGTTTAATTTTGAAACCTTCTTTATAAAAGCTTTATATTAGCTTTACTTTCCTTATCTGACCATTTATATTTATCCTTTTATATTTTACTTGAAAATAATACACAAGTGAATTATTCTTTCAGGAAGAGAGAGCTGATATATTGTCAAAATATATCCATGTGTTTCAATCGGAAGATTGTGCATTTTTGTATCTTGACACATTTCTGCAAACCATGGCAAGAGAATGGTTCACCATTGATCGTTATCGTCTTGAAAAATTCATGATGGTTTGTATGAATTTTTCTTTCAATTTCTCTTTCACCTAAATATAGTAATTATTTTTTTAAACCAGTATTACTCTGGGTTTCCATGGGGTCTGATGGACCTGGAATTGTCTGAGAATTTAATCTTTGGAAAAATAAGCCAGGAAATCAAGCAATTTCTGCCAAAACCTGAAAAAAAAATCTTTCAATAAACCTGAAGAAAAAAAAACTCATTTTAAAAATAACAGTAGCAATAAGCTAATGATTTTCGAAATAAACAAGTTTAATATCTACTATTATTCATAAGACTAAGTAGTATTCATTATGATTTTTAATTTTAATGAAATTTTACTCCCAATTTATAGTGTAATGATTGTGTTAATGTAAATGATTAAGTGAAGCAGCTTTATCATTTCTGAATTTATAGGAATATTCAGAATTAATTTTTAATTTATTATTTCAAAGACAGGTAGAGTGCAGCAACCAATTGAATTAAAATTTGTATTTAACTGATTAACTTCAGCCACTCAGCCTTAATTCAAATATAACATTAGCATCTTTTTGGCAGTCTGCATAAATAAGCGGATCACGAATCCTTTACTTACGTCAAAAAGTCGCAACCTCTTCCTCCTTGGTCTTTATTTTTGACTTTTACTGTATTAATCAAATTTTCGGATAAAATTTAAGAAGAAAAAAAACTATAAATTCACATAAAACAAAATTTAGGTATTAATTCGTTTTATAAAATCCTCAGAGAATATTCATAAGGAATCTTTTGTGATTAAAAGTGTTCACCTCTGAACTTTTTAAAGAAATCTGTTTCCATTTTTTTCTTCTTTTCCCTGAATGAAAAAATTAAAAAAAAAAAAAAAAAAAATATCAGTTTTATTTTTTTGTTATACTTTTTATTTGGCTTATTAAGATAATTCTGAAAATAAAGGGATTTCTATGTTTTACGAAAGCATAGTATGATTTCAATCATTTGGTAATCATTTAATATGGTAATATGTAAATCATTTGGTGTTTACATAAAATTTTAAACAGTCCTCTGGTTCTGGATATTCAATTATAATTGTATGCTTTTTTTTGCAGTTAGTACGTAAGTTTTTGAGTGAATCATTTGTATTTCTGAAAAATAAGAAATGGGACGTTGAACTAATCAAGCAGTTTAAGAAAGTCATGAAGAAGACTGTTATTAATACTGCTCCGGAAAGTGCACCACTCGGATTAAAAATACATGTTGCCGAAATTTATACTGAAGAATTAGCAAAAGTTGGTGCTGATGAGGTAAACAAAACTTTAGGTTTACATTTGTAATTAATTTTGTGTTATAATAATTCCTTCATTTAATTTGTACGTCAAATAAATTCCATTATTGTTGTAACTGCAAGTAATTTGTTGGGCAAGCATAATTTTTTCAATTTTAATTAATTTATTTTGAAGTAAAACTGCAAAACAAGTTATGCTCAAGTTGCACTGAAATTTTTATAATTTGGTAAGAAATTTTGTTTCATTGTATTGCAATTGGTAGATTATTTGATATTTATATAATTAAGAAATTAAGGCTCTTTGTTTAAGTTTTCAAAAAAAAAATAATAGTAATTGTCAGTCATTCAAAAAAGTAATAATTCAATTAGCAAAACTTGATTGTGTTTTTTTTTATTTTATTTTATGAATACTCTAAAAATTTTTTGTGAATAACAAAAAGCCTTGTTTTATGCAATTAATAATTTTTGTTTTTTCGTACATGCAGTAATACATTATTCAATATTTATATAACTAAGGTTCTTATTTTTAGTTTTCAAATAATATTGGTAATTCAAAAAAGTAGTAATTCGACCAGTGCGACTGGTTTGTCTTTTTTTGATAATTACTCATTGATTATTTATAAATATCAAAAACCGTGTTTTATGCTGTTAATAATTTTTGTTTCTCTATACAAAGCAGTTATGCATTATTTGATATCTAAATAATCAAGTTAATAATATTTCCTAGTTATTGTAGGAACATTATCTATCATTAAAAAATAAAAATTATAGTTCAACTAGCTGTTATTATTATTTTGTTAAGGATTAACAAAAATATAATTTGATAATCTTTTCACTCAGATCTGTTGTCAGTTATATCTGGAATAACCCACTAAGTTTCGAATTCTGAAAAAGTTTTCTAAATATCATGGTCTTAAAATTGATACGGCATTACTTTATTTCTATGGAATCATCAGTAATCCTAATACAATTTGTTTACATTGATATTTACAGAAAGAAATTTCAGCTTTCAAAACTTTTACATTTGTCACTTTACATATCTCACTTTCTACAAGTTTAATTTTAAAATACCTAGAAGAAACCATGAAGTTTTAAATACTAAAGAATGTTTTTAAAATATCGAAATGTGAAAAAAAAATTTTGAATTATTGCAGCAGTACTTTCATTCTGTGGAGTTCTGAGTAATTCTGCCATAATTTGTTTGCATTGATATTTGGAAAAAGAAATCTCGGCATTTAAAACTTTTACGTTTGTCTGAACTCACTTTCTATAAGTTTAATTTTAAATTTCCTAGAATAAACCATGAAGTTTCAAATGCTAAAAAAAAAATTTCAAATACTACCGAAATGTATCAAAAGTTTTGCAGTATTCCTTTCTTTCTGTACATTCCTGAGTAAATCTGTCATAATTTGTTTGCATTTTTATATTTTAAAAAGAAAGGAAAAACTGCTATGTTGTCTGAACTTTTTAAAAAAAAAAAAAACTTTGAATTACCAATGGAAGTGAAACAGAATTAGCCATGAAAAGTTTCCCCTTCAGTATAGTGTCCTTTTAAGTGCCCTGTTGTGGTATTTGGTACGAACAAGTAACAATTTGGTACCCCTAATATTTTTTTAAATTATAAGTTTTTTCAATTAAACTGAGATTTCCACCATCAATTTTGTTATCTGATACTTTTAAATTTATATAATTTTTTTACTTGCAATTGTCTTTTTTATTTAATTTTAGCTGTCACCAGAAACCGTGAAAACATTCCTTGTTCCTTTTTGCAATATTCTCTGCAATTCAGAGGAGTAAGTATCTTTTAATTTTATAGATACTTATATGTATATAATTTAATTTAATGAAACTTTTAAGTTTTATCTAACACAATTTGATTTTACTTCTATGACTAGTTACACTATAAGGTGAGAAATTGATTCAGATAGTGGGTGTACTGCCTTTTTTTTTTTCAATGCCTTAAAGTTATGTTCAATTCCCTAATGTTCTTAAATAATAAAAAGGTGGAAATGTTATTTTATTTTGTTGAAAAATTTTAAATCTTTGTTAAAAGTTACAAGAAAAATTCTTGTTTTTTTCCTGTTCTAATTATGTATAAGAAGTTATTGTGGAATAGTGAAGTAAAACGAATTAATACTAAAACTTTGTAAGTTTTTTTTTTTCTAAGAAAAGCATTTAATAGAAATTAAAAACTCCCTAATATTTTTTACATTTGTAACAGAAAGGAAAGTAAGTTATTTAATGCCTTAATGTTATGTATTTAAATATGATATAAGCATATCTTTTATTATTTTTTTTTACTCATATTACATCAAGAATTAAAGCACAAATGTCCAAGTTAAATTTTTTCTGTATTTCGAATTTTTGTTGTGTGCTAAGCTGAATATAATTTTTATACATCGTTTATTTTATAATTGCTTCTTCAAATGGTTCAAATTTATTTTTTATTCACATAATGTTGAACAACGCTACAAAATCTTGCAAAACACTTCACGACGAATACCGAACTTATGAAACTAAAATGATACCAATGTTTTTTTATTTATTTATTACCTTTATTGGTATATTTACGTTATCAGGTAAAGTAAGAAACGAATTTAATAAATCATCCCATCAAAATAAAAGTTGTCTTCAGTATCATCTGGCATAAGGCTGTTGCTCGAGGCAACTCATATTCGTGATATTTTAAATTTACCTCTTATCAAGCTACTTTCTCCTGTACTTATATCTTCGACAGGCAGTAAAAAATCTGTCATAAAAATGTACAGTATTGGTGCTGCTGTAGTTGGCTCAAAATTTACTCATGAACTACTTTATACCTGTTTAAGAATATATTACCTATTTAAACTGTACCAATTACTTTGACTACGATAGTGCTTATTACCAAAATTTAGCATCATTGATGTCAATAATGGTATAGCTATTCTTTAATGTTTTTTTGTAAAGAATAAATACGTTTTTTTCATTGATTTTGCTTTATAGTTCATAGCTTATTTTTTTATTTCACTGAGTAACTATTATCAAAATTAATTAACCATCATTGAGGAAGATCTTATTTGGGCAATTTTTATGTTCTCCTAAATTAGTAATAATATTTCTTCATTAATTTTACTTTTTATTCCATAACTTAGTATTTTACTTCAATTAGTAACTATTACCAATAATAATTATCATTGGTATCAGTAATAATATTGTTTTTGTTTTTTTTTTTAAATGTTTATCTTAAACATGATTGTGCTCCTGAAAAAAATCCAATCCGGATTTTTCGCTAAGTGCGGTCCGGTACTTTCCGGAAAACCAAGTTCCTGAAGTTTCAAGAAATCATCAATCACATTTATGTATAAAATTCTTGTATATTTTATTTAAAAATATTAGAACTAGAATTTAAACTTGGCATCTCTTTCATTTGTAAATATTTTTTCTGGTAAAATTATAAATTTGATTTGAGATAAAAGTAAACTTATACACAATTATTCCATTTAAATTCTGCTGCATATAATTTATTTAGAATTTCATGTTTTGAAAATATCAATGATTTAAATTTATAAATACATTTATTTTTTGAATGTGTCATTAATTATTTTACTCATGAAATTTTCAGGATTTTTGATTTGGTCTGTTGAGTTCACCCCTGTAAATTAGTTCCATTTTTTCCATAGAATTAGTTCCATTTCTCCACTAATTTTGCTTTTCTGTACAAAACTTTTTATTTCAATTACTGTTGATTTGAATAATTTTATATTGCATTTGAAAATCATAATTATGAACAAATTAAACTTGTAGTTTGCCTATGCTACGTTGGTCTGGTCATTCAGATGACCTGACTTGATGAATAAGTATTTCAGAAAGCACAATAGATGTTTTTTGATTAGAGCTGTAAGCTAGAAAATATCATTGTTGTTATTGTTAAAATATTTTAAAAACTGAATAGTTCATAGTTTACTTGAAAACAATGACTTCTGTTAAACCAATGTGAAACTTCCCTTTTTTAAATCTCTGAATAAAAATCAAAAATCGAGCTTCATCATTTGTTAACGATTGTTCTTATTTAGCTTTAAATTGAATGTTATATTTTTAGAACTTATGGTATGCCCACAATCTGGTATTTGCTTTATATCTTAACTATGTTTTGCTGATTATTCATGATTTTAACATTTATGACATACTTTTTTTTTCCATATAGACCTTCTTTAGTTAAAACAATTGCAAAGGAGGTGTTCATTTATTTTATTAATCAAGATGCTGAGACAGATGAATTCGAAGAATTTCCCATTCTTAAAGTAAGATAAATATGATATTAATGTTTAACAATGTGATTGAAATATATATTGTTCTTTCATTGTAATTGTTTTCAAAGATAAAAGCCTAATTTTTAAAATCAAAGCACATAACATTTTTTCTCTCTCTCTTTCTTTTTTTAAAGGCTCAAAATTGTATATCTAGTGACTGTCCATTCAGTAAATATGCTGAATGTTTCATACTTAATAGATATAAATTTTAGTTTCCCTAATGTAATTTTTACTATTTTTTTATTTAATTTTTGCGACTGTGTTATTCAACTACTATTATAATTTTGCTTGTCTGTTACTTAACATGGGTGATAAGCTATTTTATTTATTTTTACCCAAAATTTCCAATGTAATGAATTACTGGTTATCCAAATTTCATTAAATGACTGGGAAGTGTTTGTTAACCAATCTTAGAAAACTTAATTTTTCAAAAGTACATACATATTTTATTTGCAATGCTGTAGTTTCCAAACAGAAATAAAAATTGTAATAATTATTAAAAACCTATTTTACTAACAAACCGATATCAAATTACAATGTGAGGACTTACTGGTTATTAAATTTTTTCAATGATTTTCTGTTCAAAAGATGTTTTATGTATATTTTTAATTATTTTTTATTGCTTGATTCATACTTTTATATTTTTCCAATTATTCATTTCAATTTGCTAGCTAGTCAGAATAAACTATTTTCTTCCTATCATCTAAAAGAGACATGACCAGTAAATTTGATTTGTTATAATTATTAAATTAAATTTGATTTGATTTGTTGCAATTATAATATGTATTTAGTTAGTGATAAATTTATTAAAATTATTTAAATATAGTGTTTCAGTCATGTTTAATTTACAAATGTACCATTAATATTTTAATTAAGAGTTTATGCTGTCATTATTTTTGCAATGATTTTACAAATTCTTCAATACATTATTCTTATTATATAATTATCTATTTATTATAGGAATGTTTGGCATTTATACTGTTAGATAACTTAAGCTCTGTCATAATGTTTTCTATCTTTTATTTTTTTATAGATTATTTATTAATCCTATGCAGTAAAACAATTTTTGTCTCATATTTGTGAATATAGTCGTAGTAATCTGATGATTACTACCAATATCTTAGTAGTCTTTTTGGAGTTTTATGCTTAATAAATGCACTTGTAATTTTGAATGTATTATAAATTGATAAGTTTTTAATACATGAGTCACAATTTATATGGATGAAAAGGTTTTACCACTTGATTCTTTCTTAAATGTGTTTTTCTCTGCCTTTTTATTATTTTTAAGAGAGTTTAGTGTCCCTTTTTTTTTGTCTTTATTTATATTTATCAGATTAAAACTAAAAATTATTTTTCTCTCGAATGTTTTGTTTATGTTGCTGAACAAGTATATTTTAAATTAGAAAGCCAGTGTTTATTACTAATATTGCCAGTTTCATTTACTGCAACATTTAATATTTTAACCACTTAAATAGTTAATGGCATTTTTACGTATGTTTATATTAACTCGCTACAAAATCTTGCTTTCCAAATTTTGACTTCTTTCCAACTAAATAGAACTCTCAAATTTTTCATGAAATCAGTGACTGATGACTGTGAAAACTTCAATAATTTACAGAGTGTGACAATTAAAATTTATCGTCATTTTATATCCAATTAGATTTTAGTAAAGCTGAAATTTTAACTACCTTTCTCAACAGACTTTGCTCAAATCTCATATGCAGCTCAGTGCTTGCTAATTGCTGTTAGAAATTTATCACCAACGTTTGACCAGTGAAAGCACCAGTGAAAAAATTAAATAGAAGAATATAATAAAATCAAAACTTTCTCAATTAGATTTTTGTCATTGATTTATATGTAAATACAATCTTGATATTTAATGATTTAAGTATGTATAAAACTTGGCTTCGGAAAAAAGTTCAGAAGAAAATGCTTCTAAATAAATAACATGGTCCATAGCATTTTTAAAAAATGCTTAAAGGTGCTTATTTTTGATTTTTGTTTTTTAAAAGCCCTTAAATGTGCTTTTTTCATGGCGTCTTTAAAAAGTGCTTAATTTTCCAATTTCCGAAATGAGATTTTTATTTCATTTCACAAGATATTCTCAATGTCAGGCTTCATTTTCCACCCTCTGAAATCGAACCGAAAAATCTCTCGGTCTTCTTATGGTGGCCAATATAATCAAGAAAAGAGTTCTTTGTCAGAAACTAGTTATTTTATCATGATTATGTAAAGTCTTTGAAAATTATTTTGCATTTTGTCATATAGTGCTTTAAAGGTGCTTATTTTTTGTTCAGAGATTTGGCTTCGCACCCTGAATAAGCCTGGCCAAAAAAAAAAAAATTCTTTTAACTTTTTTTTAAACAGTATGTATGAATAAGATTCTATCTATATGGACTTTTTTGACAGAATTGTTTGATAAGAAAATGCAAACAAAAGTTAGCTTATGTATTAGATATAAAGTTGTTAAAACTGAGTATTTTATTCTAATTTTTTGATGTAATTTTTTAATATGAAATTACAGAGATATTAGTTGATTATTTTTATTTGTTTATTAATATTATTTTTGAGGTAATATTTAGAGTAAACAGTTATTCAAGTCCTGTATTTTTTTTATTTCCCTTCATATCAGAAATAATGCAAAATATCTCTGTATAATATTGTGTTCTATATAGATAACTCTTTGTAGGAATCATGCAGCATTTAAATTCATGAAAAACATTTTATATAATCAACATGCTATTTAACGTACATGTATCCATTATAGCGTATAATTAATTTCAAATTCTATTTCTTACTATTTGTAGTTTGATGTGGATGTGATTCAAAATTTATTGATGAAATATGCGAATAAACCAGATCTGAAAAGAAAAAACATGAAAGTTATTTATGATGTTGTGAAGCAGTAAGTATAAAAATTTTTGATTAATGCAATTAATTAATTAATTTTGCTTAATACAATTAATTAATTTAAATGGTTCCATGTTTTTCTAAACTTATTTAAATAGCTCATTGCTGAAGAGTGAGTGAGTAAAGATTTTCATAGAGTATGTAATGATTTTTTATTGATTTTTTCTGATGTTGAAAATAAAGTATAGAAACAGGAAGGACCCTGGAATTATCTGGAAATTTTATTTTGTCTCTAAAGGAACTGGAAATAGTCAGGAAAATGTGCAATTTAAAAAAATAAATAAATGAATCCTGAAAAATTCCTGCATTATTCCTAGGAAATAACCAGTCTCAGAATTGTCAGTAACAGTAATCAGTTATTGAAATTTTAGTTAAGTAATTCTAACATCTATTATACAGTTATTTGTTATAAACATCTAACATTTTAGTCAGGGTTGCAAGAAACCCGGGTTTTTCCAGAAAAATCCGACCCGGGTACGTTTTATTGGGCTTTTCTGGGTTCTATTGGGTTTTTCATGTTTTATTTCATTTTTTTTCAAAAGAGAGGGCAGGGATAAGTACCTTATTTTAAAAAAGCTTATATTAATAATTAAGTTTAATTTTATGAATTGACTTAACATGTAGGTAATTAATACATAAATTGGTAAAGTACATAAAAGTTTCTTCTGACATCATGATACAAAATGTTATATGTACTCACATACATCACACATTTTAAATTTTTTTTAACATAGAATTATTTTTTATTTCTATTTTATTCTTAAAAAATATCCGAGGAAATAATTTTTTTTGCATGGAAAGTGAATCAAAGGCACTGTCTAATCAATGGCCATACAGTCAAATCTAGTTAGCAACACAAAACACAGTTTTTTCACCATAGGTTTTTTTTTTTTAAGGCTAGACTACATATATATTTCAATAGAATGATAGCTCTTTAACATAACAGATGATAAAAAAGAAATCAATTTTAGAGAAACCCAGTAAAACCCACTTTAGTGTGGGTTTTACTGGGTAGGTGGGTTTTTTGCAACCCTGATTTTAGTGAAACTTCCATGCTTCTATCCTCATTCAATGATATTTCTTGTTCACAAAATGTAATACTTGACATTACAAATAAAAAATCAAAGTTGTCTGATGAAAAATTGCATGGTATAGATAAAATATGGTTTGGATTTTCATTTTTAAATTTTCTTGATATATCTAGAAAAGTCAAGGAGTTTTTTTTTTTTTTTTTAATTAAGTGGGGAAACTTCTAAAATGGTAAAAACTGCTTAAATGGTTAAAAAAAATAATAAGATTTCAGAATTATTTTTATAGACAAAAATACAACTTTAAAATACAACAGACTTTTTCTTGATGCAAACACGATGCAAATTTTTTATATATGTGTTGCTCCTAAGTGCAGAAATCTGTTATTCTGCAGATCATGTAAATAATGTAAGAATAATTAAGGTAATATGTTGAAGTGCTAAAAAATAGTATCATTTCTCGTGTTACCTATGTGTGCAATCTGTGAATATCCTTGATAATATGCTCAATATTTCCCCCTAGGCAATCATTAATCTGCTTATTAATTACTGCTTATTGCTTATTACTCAGTGAAATATAAATAAGGTTATTGCTGGTAGCAACTAGGGTTGTGTCGGGTACCCCCGCCCACTGTCAATTTCATATGTATAGAATATTTTTTCATGTCAATGGACCATCGGACATTAATTGTTATATTATAAAAAGATTATTTTCAAAGTTTGATGTTGAACACAGTTGGATACATGTTGAATACAGAATAAATGAGGTTTATCTATTGTCAATACGTTGGTCATTTTCTTTTCCACCTGAAAAAACAGTAAAAAAAAACTAATTTTTGTAACTTGGCGGGGCTACCTGACACATTTTAAAAAGAGCTGAAAAACATGTTTTTTTAAATTTCTATTTTTTTAAGTTAAACTATTCTTTTTTGGTTTATTCTTTTTGCATTATTTAATTAGGTGATAAAACAATAGAAATATGCAAAAATATTGATTAATACTCAATATTATACAGAAATATAAGCAATACTCCTTAAGTAGGCTACCCGACGCTCCCTTACATTTCTTTACACTTAAATTTTTATATCGTTATTTATTTGTTTTTCAATATCTAAAGAATATAAGTTAATACAATCATCTCAATTGTAGTTGATAGAATCAATCAGTAAGCAATATATTATACAATAGTATGAAACATTTCAAAAAAATTATTACAACTTAGCAGGGCTGATTGTGCTCCGGTAAAAATCCGGATTTTTCGCTAGCAGTGATCCGGAAGTTTCCGGAGATCGAAGGTCCAGACGTTTCAAAAANAATATTTTTGTATGTTTCTATTGGTTAACCAATAGAAACATACAAAAATATTGATTATTACTCAATATTATACAGAAATATTAGCAATACTCCTTAAGTAGGCGGGGCTACCCAACTCTCCCTTACATTTCTTTACACTTAAATTTTTATATTGTTATTTATTTGTTTTTCAATATCTAAAGAATATAAGTTAATGCAATCATCTCAATTGTAGTTGATAGAATCAATCAGTTAAAAATATATTATACAATAGTATGAAACATTTCAAAAAAATTATTACAACTTAGGAAATAAATCAAGCATTTATTTATATTTTGAATATTTATTTATAAATGAGGGGAACTGACTTTTGAATTTTGATAAAGAAGCTGCTAATATGCACTAAAAGGCATGAAACTCTTTCGCACTTTAATGGATTACCTTTATTAATCTGCTGATTAACTAAGTAATATGCCTACAATGGCCTTTTAACTTTAGTAATAACTACGACAGATCTGTTTTAATAAGGCTTTTGACTTTTCATATGCTTTATCCAAAGACTTGAATAGCTCTATTTAAACTCTATTCATAACTCTATTCAAACTCTCACATAATTTACACACTGTCCATGCAAACACATCTTGCCGAAGGCAAACTATTATAATTACATCTGATTTAAAAATATGTCTGTAAATCTTGAGCCATGGCATAAAAAGAGGCGATATGCTTCAGCATTTGATAAATCTGCTTCATGGTGGCGTCCGCCCAGATAGCTGTAAATAAAAATCCCAACAGTGTTTGACTAGTAACGACTGTTGATCATCGAAATTCATGTCGATTGACAAAAAGTTACAAAGTACACAAAATAATTGGTGTAACTTCAAACATCCTTAGAATAGTGCTATTTTTTTTTTACGAATCAGTTTTTTATTAGCATTGTCTAAATATTGCATGGCTCATAGCAATCAATGTTTGTGGGACACACACCTAGTTTGCTCTTACAAGAGTCAGATTCATCTGAATCACTAAACTTAAGAAGAGAGAAAATTAGAAAAGAAATGGCTATGACTGTTAAATGTGTTTTTTACATTTCTATATTATTTTGTTGTTTTGCTTTATTTATTTCTCTTTTGACATGAATTAGATATACATACCTGCCTAGTCTCCTGTTTTTTAACAAAGACTCTATTTTACAACTATCTCCTCTTTACCTGTATATTCTCAAATTTCACCATATTTGTCAAAGAAAATAATAATAATAAAATAAAAAAAAAAATTTTTTTTTGGTGATAAAATATCCACTAATGGCAAAAATACTTCTCTTAATCCTCAAGAGACAATGCTATTACCAGTACTACAGTATGTTGAGTGTTTATAGTTTAAGTAATTATAAATATTGGTTTAAAATTTTTTTCTTTTGATTAAGATTTATATACATATATTTTACTTCGCTAAATGTACATGCTTATATTATTTCCAAATTTGAATTTCAATTTTTGACTTGCATGATTAGGCATGTATCAAAATTTTACTATAGCCCAAAAATGTCACTTGTAAAGTCTTCGTTATTTTATTTTTCGAATGTTGACCGGTATGGATGACAGTACAGTCACATTCTGTAACTGTCAATGTACACACATAGTAGAAAGAAAAAAAAACTTCAAATAAGTTTGTAAATTATTGAAATGTTTTCTTTTTGTGCAAAACAATTTCACAATTTTTTATTTTATTTTTTATACCTATCCTTTTGATAAAAACATTTCCAAATAATCTGTTCTGATAAGAATGGAGAAAAGAAAAGTTTGTACATATTCTCTTCATTTTTTTTTTTTTTNTTTTTTTTTAACTAAAGCAGAATGAAAAGATGGAGAGTTCTTGCTAGATTTGATTCAATTAATAGATTTGTTAAGCAATTTTCTTATAAATTTTGCTTTACTGTTTTTAAAATATTAACTCGCCTCACTATAGTCATGTCCTTTACTACAGCAACCAAACCAGCAGTTTGAAATCAAACAAAAAATGACCTTTTGTACCCTAATAGAAATTTAATTTTGCAATAGTTTTTTTTATGAAAAGTTTAATAGTTACTAACTAATTTTTAAAAAAAAGATAAATGAAATATCAGTTCTTGATTTAGTTTAGAGTTATATTTTCATTCATTTTGCTCTAGGTTTGAAGACTATAAAAATGGTATTTCACAAGAGGATCGATTGTTTGCTGACCAGGGTCCAGCTCGCAAATTAAGAAAACGTGCAATAGAGAAAGCTGCTTTGGCTCTTGTTGAGGAAGAGATGGCCGAGAAGGCAGAAAAGTCTGTGAAGAAAAGAAAAAAAATTCAAAATGTTATTGATTTGTAAAGTGTGTTGCTTGGGTTTTGAATGTAAATATATTTACCTTGTTTGTATATATTTATTTTTAAGATCTTACTGTTATGTTTGTGTAAATCATCCTCATTAAACCTTCATTAAAATTTTTGTTGTACACTTAATTTGAGTTCAAATTTCATTTGATATTTACATTTAAATTGAGTGTTAAAGGTTGGGACCCTTTTTTGATTTTGTCACTGGAAAAATTGAGAGTATTTTGTATGAATGTTTCACCTGCTAGATTTTCTACACTCAGAACAGAAAAAGTTGGGGATTTTAATTAAAATACTTGAAAATCAAAGAAAGGCATTAATTTGAGGAAGGCAAATCCAATGTTTTTCATTTTGTATTTTTTTTTTCAGAAAAAGAAAAAATTGGAAGTTATTTTTTTGTTATTGAATTTTTTTCTTTCTTCAGCTTTTCAAAGTAGTTTTCTTCAATATCTTGACAATCTTTTCTGGGCCAAGGCCTTCTTCAGAATATTTTTCTTTTCTGCTCTCTTTTACACCTTTAGTCAACCCACCTGTCTAGGTCTGCCTCTGTTTCATATTCCAATCGGTTTTGAGATGAACGACTCTGGATGCTATGCGAAGTCAGATTTAGGTTTAAGCGAAACAATTATTCATCATTGAAATTTCTTTCATTTACGAAATCAATTATTGAAAAATTCTTGAATATGAATGGAAAAAAACAATTCATTTTTTTTTCTTTTTTGATTTTATTCTTTAGTACAAATATAATTCTAAAAATCTAACAGATTTCTTTTAGTAACTTTCTGTTTTTTTTCTAATTAATAAATACCAAAATATATTTTTGCTTTTAATAAGAGCATGAGAAAAAAAATATATATGAACACCGGTGTCCCACATGCATCAAAGGGATGAACAGTCTTGTCTTAAAAGTTAAACTGGGCTTTAGAATTGACAAATAAATATTTTAAATGTTATACATCTTTTACCAATTTGGCAAGATTTTCCCCCCTAGATGAAAAATATCAAAATGAATGAATCTCAATATTTGAAAATTTTTATGAACATTTAATGCAGCATTGTAGTAACTTCTTAAATATTAACTTTGACCACAAACTGTTTGCTTTCTCACAAATCTGGCTTTTTTTTCCATATGGGTGTTAAGCACCATTTTCCGAATTTGTCTAGAAGGTCAGGGCTGAAGAGAATGAATGGAAGGGCTAGTCCACTCCTTTGAAAAGACTATCCCCCGCCAAACAGCTGATTTTCTCCTGTGACATCACGGCGGCCCAAAGCTTGAACTTTTACTTCAAGAACGGAGCGGTCGGTCTAACTAATATTGGTGTATTACTTTTCGTGACATATTCCAAGACATACGTTGTTTTCTATAATGATTTTGCTCAGTTTTTTTAAGTGATTTACCAAAGTTTAAAATTTTTAACAAAATCCCAGTTTGTGCGATTGCAACTTGCAAAAATTCTGATAGAAACACAAAATGAAAATATATAATTTCCCACGTGTTCCCTAAAGTAAATGAACAACTACGTAAAAAATGTATTCAACGTTGCAAACGAAGTGGCCGAGTTAATATAAAATATGCAGTAAGTATTTCTTGAAAGAAGATATGAGAAATCATTTGCTTGGATTGCTGATTAGAATGATTTTAAAACCTATTGCAATACCGAGAGTAAATTTTTGCATGACTTAAATAACTGCATTCCTATGTCTTGAGATAAATGCCTTAATTTGGAAAATAAAATGATCAATTCACAGGAAAAAGAAAGACTCAATTGTTTTGCTGGTTATAAAGCATTTCGCCTTAAAAATATTGATTCAAAATTAGGAATACCATCTTCTCAGCAATATGGAAAGTATAAATCTCTTATCTAAGGGAGGATTAATTCTTCCGTCAGCAGCATGGATGGAAGTGTGTCAGGAATGTGAGAATATTTTTCAAAGTGAGCATGGGACATCTTACAGAAAATCAAAAATTGTCATCAAAGAACTTATAAATGAATTAAAGGGACGATATCCCGCAGTGAATAAAACATCAATACTTTCTTGTCCTTTAAGAATTCTCTATCTAAATAGAAACCGCCCTGTTACTTCAAGAAATAACTGAAATGAAAAGTATAAAGAATTAATATTTAAAATTTTCCTTATTTCATACCATATTTTTTAATGTAGTTATTCTAAATATTTATGATTTATTTTTTTAAAATTATATCCTCTTAAATTTAAGTATCAATAAGTAATTGCAAAATTTCTAATATTATTATGAACCTAAATTATTATTTTGTTTCAGTAATTAACTTTTAAGGTTGTTTCCTACAAATTGTCATTAACAGCATATTTTAAAATCATGATTCTAACTTTAAGCCAACTTTACAAATTATTATTAGCAAGCAATATGTAGCTAAAAAGTGTCGATATATTCTTTGATTTTTCTTAATAATGAAATCAAAAACTGAAAATTTTAAAATAAAGTATTTATAGTGTCATTTATGACAACTACTAAAGTATTTTTATTAGTTTAAAATGGTAATTTTTATTTACATTGTGGCCAAGAAAAATTTTTTGAACAGAAATAATGTGTTAACTGTGTAAAATTTGAAAGCTAAGATCAAAAAAAAGTTCGTACTTATTTTTGCAGAGAGAATGATGCAAAGTTTTTATAATATATTAGGTTGCGATCTCCAAGATCTGTGTGCGGCGTGACGTCAGCTCTAAGAGAGGAATGAACAAACCCTTCTTTCTTTTCTTTAGCCCTGACAGAGGGTGCTGCCTAAACTTGGCCTAACAGCTATGAATAGCTTGTGAACTTACAGCAGTTATAGAAATAGTATTATTCCCAAAATAAAACTTTAGTTACAGCAGAGCCTTTGTAAAACATCATTTCACTTTAACGCTTATTAACAAGTGTTTCTCAAATGAAAAAAGCATAAGTAAAATGAGTGCATTATTCATTATATCTCTAGTGTTATCTATTTTAATCTCAATTTCTCGGAAACTATTCGAATGATTTCTGTCAAATTTTGCATTGTTTAAAAAAATTGTACACCTTTCTATTCAAATTTTTTTCGCCTATAATTAAATTTAAATAAATATTTAGTGAAAGTTATCTTTTGTATAGAATTATCTTTGCATAAACGAACTTTATAATTGTGTGCAAAAATGTTTCAATTCGCTTCAAAAGTTCTCGAGATATGTCGAAATACGCAAGAAGTAAAATTAATACTAAGTCATCCATGACCAAACTAGTGGGACCATATTTCCTAGAATGTCGTTACCCCCTATATGTTCGGAATCCGAAACCATCGGGAAAAAAAGGTTTGTTTATCTGTTTTTGTGTTTGATTTTGTAACTTAAAATATCGTTTCCACAAATTAATTAGCATATTTGAGTTTCCCCCACAAAACTATTAAGTTAGAGCTCTAGAATGTGAAGATGTGATCATTGAATTAAAAGTTATTCAGAGTAATCCTTTTTTAATTTAAAATTTTTTGTGTGCACTGTATATAGATAAGATAGAACTGTGGAATTAACAATAAAGTTTATGCCGTCATTTGCAAATTCCAGGAAATTTATAAAACCAGCCTGATATTTCAGGTTTTTTATTTTCTCCTGAATGGTGTGTGGTTATCCAGAGGCAAGGAAATTTTCCTATTTGTTTAATTTGCTTTATAATCATGCCAAAGCAACCAAAGTGTTTTTTATACCTTGTACCTTATTCTCTGATTAATATGAGTAATTTTGATCATTGGTGCACTTTCCTTTCTTCTAATAATCCCTGTATATAAAGAGCCACAAGATGATCAGAGAAAGTAATGTTTTGGATAAAACTTTTAATCTTTCAACAAATCTGGAAAATAACCATTTTGATATCTACATTAACAATAAGTAGTGGAAATAAATAATGTTTAACATTTATTAATAGCCGATCGGCCTGTGTAAGGGTCAGAGAACTAACCTTGCATCCGAAAGGTTCTGGGTTCGAATCCCGGCGAGGCATGGATGTTCTTTCCTCCTCTGTACTATCTGTCCTTACTGTAGGAGCAATGTTGGCCCACGGCCCACCTAATATGGTGCCCCTGAAAGAGTGGCCAACAAATCTGCCCTTCAGATGCCTGTATGACGTAAGTCATTCCCCAGGCGGGCACTGGAAAAAAAAAACATCCATTAATATAATTTATTCTAATAAATCTGTGATAACATGGTTGAATTTTCTTAAATTTATAAAATGAGAACTATAATTTGTGTGAGACATTAGTTTTAACAATTTCACGCTTCAAGACTTTTCTTTGCATGCAATGTTTGCAACTCAACAATATTATTCACTAGGTCGGTATATATGGTATAGTCGGTATTGTGAATAACAGTATTATTCACTATTGTTTTTAAAAATGAGCTTTCTGTGTATATTTATTTTGTTTTTAAATCGCAAGTAGGACCCCCGCCCCACGCTGGATCCGCCACTGGTCCTTCGCGAAAATTCGATTATTAAATCAGAAATTGCTCAGGGTATTTCGTTTATTTATCATTATCTTTTTATTTTTGCGCACTGCAGTTTCCCACATACCTTCATAATTCCATGTTTCTAAGTTTTACAGTTGTTGAGAGAAAAAAAAAATGCCTTACAGGCAAAAGAAGTACTAAAAAATTCGCGGCAGGTAAACCACTTAAAAATGCAATAACTTTCGAATAAATTAAAAATTCGAAAAGGACTCAGTGTTAAGTTCACAAACAAATATGGATCTTTCAGTAAGCTGAATTTCAGCTGCGTAGTAGAATTCCTACGGTCTGTAGCACTGCTCTTATATGATATTTTTCTTACAAGTTTAACAGTTAATCATGCTCAAACTAGTAACCTATCAAACTAATAATTATGTTAAGTTTTTCTTCCCATTGTACACACTGTACGTTTTTCTACAAGCTTTCGCAATTTTCAGTTGATAAGTCTTTTCGTTTTTGCGCAACAAAACAAAAAGTAAAATTAAGTTGAACACCCATAACAGTGGTCGCAGTCGTTACGATTTTCTTATATGAAAAGATAAAAAAAAAATAAATAAAAAAATACGAGAGAGAGAGAACTGAGAGTATTTATAGAATAATGTGACAAGTGGAGGACTTTTTTATTTT